AAATTGTTATATTGGTAGCTCTCTCAGAACGTGATTTTTGCATGCATCGTGGAAATTGTGTGAAGTTGACATACTGTCAAACGAGCCATGCGAAAATACCACTCATAGTATCAAGAACTTGTTGGGAGATGGCAGCACTGGCGCACTTTTCAGTTTCCACGCAACTTGATATTAAGTTCTCAAAGTGAAGTTTGGGGAGATGCCGTTGCGGCACTGTTGCGAGTTGGGAAAATGTTCTGCCCTATAAAACTCAAATTTTTGGGAACACTTCAAAAGAATTCCGAAAGCATTGTGCATTTTGATGCTGAAACGCGCAAAGCATAGCTAATAGTCGACAAATACAAGCACATCCTAAGCGCGACAGGCCGGTTCGAGCCGCGCCGCTGAAGCTTTATAATTTCCGGACAGTGACACTCGCACGACCTGCGGACCGCTTATTTAATCGTTCTTCATAGAGTTGATAACTAACATTTGGAGTCACCAACTTCAATAAGCTAGCAGACACAGACTTGATGGCCCTTACCACGCCCGGACAAAGATCAAAGATCGTACAAATATCGGCACCTGCATTCCAAACCACGGCAGCGGTGTGGATCAAGGCGTCGGTAACATTTCATCCCTCCGAAAATATGGGCCTTCCGAACAATGAAAGCTTTTGTCGCCTTGACGTAAGAACCACTGCAATTGTTATATGATTTATTGTATCGGTTCATACATTTTTATCACAAACGTTGATGACTTTGGACACATCCGACGTACAAAATCGACAAATGTACACATTGGAAAATCCTCATGCAGGTTATGTTGGCATGTAGACTGATCAGATTATCACAGCATAAAGCAATGTTCCCTGATATCAGCAAATGACGATTTCATGACCCATTGATACAATCGGACATATTTGAATTCATGCAAAAGGCACCAAACATACTGATTAGCTTTTGCACAGACCAAATAGCCTGAGAACAACAAAATCAAGCCTCGATACCACCCATGAGATACTCATATACAGATAAATGTTACACGTTAAGCGTAAAACACTTCCGTAGTTGGCCATCGCATCACAGCAGCACAGCCGGTTGACACAGCACGTTATCACATAAAACGACGCCTGAGAATCAACGCCAATACCGTTGTTCGCAAGCACCGAGTGCAAGAACTGATCATCGTTATTCAGTGCACACAGCTCGACCAATCACGGAGAATGCACACATCGTTGAATGTGTACAGAGCGGCCACACAGTTTCATACACTCAACTCATTAGGTACAGACAGAGCTCCCAATGCAGTCAATCAATGATATACAGGAAAATTAGGCATTCAGTTAAGCTGATGCGTTTTTCTTCACAGCTCCAGCACAGCCATTAGTGGTTCACCGGGCCACGTCAGCGGTCACGGCTCCACCATCAGTGTCCTCGTCATCTGAGTCCTCGGGGAGAATCTCTGGCCAGACACCCGTCCAGACAGTGGGAATCACGGTCTCCATTCCTCCAACCCTGCATCGAAGTGCTCGCAATCGCTGTCTCTGCCATCTTTTGGCGACTCGACGCTCGTTTTCGTCTCCCGCTCACGCCGCGGCTCAGGGAAGCGAATGGCCAGAGGAGCGATCGGCTGGTACCGCCCCCGTCGAACCTGGTGAAGAAGCGACCCACTTCTTGGTGGCCAATAGGCTGGGGATCGGAGCCAGCTGGAGCTCCTCTGCAATGATAATACACCTCGTTAGAGGTAGACCCAAGAAGCGCTCACCACCATGATATGCAAAAGGTATCAAAGAGCTTGCGATTCTTTGTAAACAGCTCAGTAATATTTCCAAGGAGGGTGTTAGTCTCTGTGAAGTATACTAGGAGATACAAAGTCCAAACGACATTATGACGATAACAGTTAAATATTTGGATGCATAGATGTTTAAAATCACAACACAGAAATTCAAAGAAGCAGTAAGAATGAAGACACGAGTGATGTTTACAGCTAGTGTGTGTGTGCGTGTCATTGCGCCTTTACGACGACGCACTCAGCTGCTGAAACCATATGGCGTCGCCTGCCTCTCACCCTGGCAGGAAGGGCAGGCACCGCGGGGAATCGAACCCCGTACCTTTGGTTTCCCAAACGCGCAGTGTGTAACGCAAACACGTTAACCACTACAGTAACCGGCACCGATTTTTTAGAGCTAAAAAATAGTAACAAAACGTACGTGCTCGCTACGGCATCGATATTGCTCTCCTGTTACCAACGAGGGCGGCGAGAAGAGACAAACTGAATGCAACCGGGTCAAACAAGTTCAAGTTCTAGGTTGGTTTCCAAAGTGCTCACAGAACTTATATAAACGCTTTCTAAGCAAAAAATCTTATGCTTATTTAAGGTCAGTGGCATTTGTTTGACCTTGTGAAGGTCAAATTGATCAAAATCATGCAGATTGCTTTGAGTTTTGTATTGACTAAGCGACAAAGACTGCGCTAAGCAGTATGGTCCCAAAACAAAATGTTGAACTGGGTCATTTTACGTTGATGACCTATTCTGACTTCTAAGAAGTCCACGGAAGATGTCTAATGCGCTCCCTGCTATCAATATATTCAAAATGAACACCAGAAACTATCCCTACAGGAAAACCCTAAAGTAAAAAAGCATGCTGGTTTTGTCTTTGGTGTGACCTTCATGCCTGACTGAAAGTCAATGTAATTTGCTCGTTCAACGTTGTATCGCCTAAGAAAGCATTTCAGAGATGTATAGCTTCCTCTAACACTTCGTTGTTTGGACGGATTGAAGGATTCCTTAGAATTCACTTCGCTGAAAAACTATGGCCTGAATTGACCCGCCCTAGGTCAGAGGCCTTACAAGGTACATTCATATTGTTACGCGAAACGATTGCTTTTCAATATCAACAGCTGTGTAAAATTAGCCGTAGCTGCGCCGTTCAGAAAACCATTCTGGAAAGACCTTCTGGGGGGGGGGGGTGGCAATTTGACCGCCCACCGGAGCCCGCGTTAATATCAGTGGCATACCCGAGGGGGCCATAAAGAGTCAACAAACCAGATGATGATCGACGTAGACAAATATCCGGTGTCGAGAACGCGTCAGGCAACATCGACATTTCCCACCGGGACCTGTCCCGCAAACCAGGGAAAGGCGAACGATTGATGTCTGTTTCATGAACTTCACCATGTACCAACCGTGCAACGCAGTGAAGGAGCTGAGGAAACCCCGCCGTTTTCCCAAGCCCCAACGTGACTGTTCATGTGACCACCAACGTGTTTATCTCCAACAACGTGATGCACGAGTATGAGTCTATCCCCTCTTAAGCTTGGCAAATCATAAAGAATAGCAAAGTCTTCGGAAAATGGTCAAATACACGATAGCTCAACATTCTTGTGAGACGGAGGATTCCAACGCATAATGTCTTGTCCCTGTGGGATATGATGAAGCTGGTGGACCCGAACCACCCGTGGCCCCGGCAGCAGCAGCGGGAACAGATGCAAACGGATTGCGAAGAATAAACCAGGGAAAGAGGAGGTAGGGAATCAACATAGCAGGGTATTAGTAACGTTAGAGTACGCCATACACCGCCATTGCCGGCGACATTTCGGCTCTCCGTGACCTCTGCTCGGGTATACCTGACGCCGCCATTGCCGGCGACATTTCGGCTCTCCGTGACCTCTGCTCGGGTACACCTGACGCCGCCATTGCCGGCGACATTTCGGCTCTCCGTGACCTCTGCTCGGGTATACCTGACGCCGCCATTGCTCGCTGGCCCCACGCCACCCCGGCTTCACTGGGCTGACCTGGCATGCCTTGTTCGCACATGCCCTGCCTTGTTCACAGCTGACCCCGCGCGCCTGCAGGCGTCCTCACCATGCCCAGCTTTCTCGCGTGCATGACGGGTACTCGGTGCTTGTATACATGCCGTCATGATTTTTCTGAGGTGCCTACTTTTGCATGTGATAGCTGCATTTGCCATCGGCTATTTATGCAATGCCAGCTTTGAAAGTGTGTGCATGTGCTTTGTGCATATTTTTGTTCGTCTTATGACTGCTGTATGACAACCGATTTCGTACTTGGCACGTGAGGTTGAACTTGGAAAAGCTGATCAGTAATATTCAGTCACGTGCTTAGGCATCATTGAAATATTTTCATTGCTATGCCTTAGATTCTTTTGGGCTATGCTTACATAGCTGTGACATATTGTCAAGACATGTGCCTGCCTACACTCTGATGATTGTGTCCAGTATATCATCATATATATATATAATATATATATATATATATATATATATATATATATATATATATATATATATACATTTATCGGGTGTAGGCACCGCGTAACATTTTACATGCGACAGGTATAATTATACCTTTTATAGTTGGTAGCGCGGTTTTACAAAGCAACGACTTCAGGGATTCCTGTACGTCAGATGGTACCAAGCCCTGCAATACTTGCAACAATTTGTAGGAGCAGATCTATCAGATTAGTAATTTTTACTCTGTGTCCTGGAAAGACGGCTTTCAGTAGACTGAAGACCGCAGTATTTGTATTTATTTATTTTATTAGGCGGCAGCATCACCGTAGGCAGCGCCACCACCGTAGGTGGCATCATCTACAAATCAGCGCAATCCGTGGCGAGCTACGTTGGCGGGCCGAGCGCACGAGCCGTTGCTGGACTGAGGGCACTAGCACAACGGGATCATTTCATTAATTTGGCCGTCAGATAAATCATGCGCTGAAGTGATAATCCAGAGTGAAATCATGCGTGTAAAACAAAATAGCAACACATGATTTACCAAGTGCAACTTAAGGAACCGTGACTGATGGAATACTGGCTCTTAAATTCGGGGCAAACTGTGAAGGGAATCCTTTATCTGGCGCGCGGCGGAAGCGGCGAAGTGGGCGCAAGGAGCGAGGAGCAGCGGAAGGAGAAACGTTTTTGGCGGGAGCAGCGTCGGGGAGGGAAAAACGGGGAGGGGGTGCGAGGGGTGAGATCCGCTAGCCTCTTCTTACAAGCTATTTCGGCACATGCGCTCAGGATGGCGGAACCTGGGAATTTGGACTTGAGAATCTTTCCGGAGTTTAGTAGCCAGGGTTCCGTTATGGAGTGGCTCGATGAAGTGGAACTAGTGTGCAGACTGAAAGGAGTGAGCGACCTGGAAAACGTGATTCCCCTCCGGCTCAGCATTCAGCGTGTACCAGCAACCTTCCGATGAGGATAAGCAGAAGCCGAATAGTCTCAGTCAAGAAGTCTCAGAGAGGGCAAAGTCGTCGACGTCTTCCTTGCAGACTTGCGCAGGCTGGCCAATCTGTTTGGCGGTTTGTCTGGGGCGGGGATGATCTGCGCTTTCGTAGCTGGCTTGCCAAAGACCGTGCGGCACGCGCTGAGGGCCAGCACGCGCGTGGAGGCCCTGGGCCTGACTGAGGTGCTGGGCCGGGCACGCGCCCTGGTCGCGGAGGAGTCGGCAGCGGCGGCGGCCGCCGCTGCGGCTACGGCGGGCGCAGCAGCGGCACCGAGCAATGGGGTCGGCTTCTCACGCCAAGGAGCGCGCGGCGGCGGCGGCCGCGCCCAGCAGCCCGTATCCTGCTTCCGCTGCGGCGAGCGCGGCCATCTGGCTCGCTGGTGTCATCGCGACATCGTCTGCTTCAGGTGTAGACAAGAAGGTCACGTAGCGGCCCGCTGCATAAGATGAGCATGGCCATCCAGTGAGGAGTCTCGAAAGTCAGCCTCGAGACGGACACCCGGACTGTGTGTCACTGGATAACGGATCAGCTCAGCAGCAAGGCACGCGTGCGCGCAAAAGCTGCGTCGTACATGCTTATCAGACAAAGACTAGGCACGCTAAAAGCCCTGGCGGAGCAATATGACCTACAAGTGAGCGTACAGGCCGTCCCGTCTGCAACCAACAAAGCGGACGCACTCACGAAAGTACCGGCAAAGTGGCTGAAGGTGCACGCGCCGTCAGGCGCCAAAGGTCCCTCGGTCGCAGGCGCTGCCGCCGAAGCCGGCAGTGGCAAGCGCGGAGGAAGTGTCGGCCAGCGGCGGAGGTGACGACGCCGGCTCCGGTGTTGACGCTGCCGCGGCCGCTACGGGAACCGCAGGTGGCGCTACCTGCGCTCCGGCGACCGCCGCTACGGGCGACGACGGGTCAACCTGGGTCAGCAGCGAGAAGATTTGCGAAGTTCACGAGGCCGCTGGGCACCCGGGTGTGCGGCGCACTCTGTACTTTTGTCGCCGAGCCAGACTGAGTGCGACGAATCGAGCGGTACGCGATCTAGTGCGGGTCTGTCAGCAGTGTCAATCCGTCGACCCCGCCTCCGTGCGGTGGGAGCGGGGCAAGCTGGCAGTGAGTGACAACTGGCGGCGACTTAGTATGGATATAACTCGAGTCGGCGCCGCGCAACATCATACGATCGCCGGTTGCGGACCGTCAAGGTTCGCTGTGTGGCGACGTCTGAGGAGGCAGGACAGCGCCAGCGTCATCGAACAGCTGGAGCAAGTGTTC